TCTTGAACAGAAATCACGTTTAACTGATAACTGTTAAGGTAATAAGATAACTTTAATAACTGTATAATATTGAATTTTATTTAGAACCCGTAACTAAATAAATAATGTGCAATGCAATCAGACGAATAGTTGTTTTCAATCTGTTGTTTATTTGACTAGATGTTCAAAATGGATATGATAATATGCGACTTTAGGAAAAAAATACAACCTTTTCGATTAAAAGTAAAAAAAAAAATTCTACCTATATTATACATTATCTGTGTGCATAATATTTAAAGTCACATTTTATAATTCGTTAATTATTATTATTAGTACCTAGTAGTAGCATGGTAGTATTATTACCGTATGGCGCGGCCGTAAAAAATATCGCACACGAAAACATTATACGTGCATTAATTAATCATATTATATTATTATTTTACTAGGTTATACATTGTAGCTATATAAAAGTAAAATTTAACAATAAAAAAAAAAATAATAATAACAAAAAAAACATTAAAAGTCTTGGCAAAGAGCATGCGCACAGGTGCGCGACGATTCGGAACAACTACTATACAGTCGTGTAGGTACCTGTTGCCGATGGTACAGGTAGGCAGTAAGACTCTGCTCATTGTGCAGTAATCACTCGCTGAAATGCGGTTCGCGCGGTGTCTGCGTGTGCCTACTACAACACATCAGAGCGGTACGTTGCTCGCTCGGTGACGAAACTCCGTTCGAATTCGGCGCGAACGATATTATTATTATTATTATATAGGTACCTTACCTATATATACCGCGTAAGCGTTTCGATATTTACCGAACTCACATTCGTGTTTGTGGTTATAACAGTAATAACAAAATATAATAACAATAATAATAACTGCAATCATAACAATATAACATTTCGACGGTGTAAACGTTGGTATAGTTGTATTTTATATAGTAACCGGTAATAGTAAAATAGTATTAGTACCTAAACCAGTAGTAATATAGTGGTGTACCTACAGACAGACACTATAGTATAATGGTAACAATAGGTAAATTTAATTTTTTTGCCATGCGACGTGCGTTTTGTATTGTTTTTTAATTAATCAAAATAATATGCTATATTAATATAATAATAATATGGTGATTAAAGAACCGCCGTCTAGACTCGACAGGTTAGTATCTAATTCATTGCTGTTTTCTATTATTTATAAGTGCTTTGTTATGGGTGTGTTCGATCGTTTACTTATGTTCGATTATAATATCATAATAAACACATCGTGATTAAGAAATATAATATAGTATATTCCTCGTTCCCGGGTCTAACTCGATAACCATATAGTTACCTACCAAAAATACGCGAATATACTTAACATTTCTTATAATCAGTGTATCATACAATCGTAAATATCATGCACATACACATTTTAGAACATTATTCGTACAGTATAAGTAGAGTGTAGACCTAGTCATATAATATCATATTATTAAGAGCTATAGCAGGTTTATTATATCGCTTTGAATAATTTAATTTGCATGATTTTACCTATTTTTACGGTTTTCTGAATAAGTGCCTTAAGATTTGCATACCATTTTTATTAGACATCTATAGAATATAACTATTATACTAATGAGTAATGAGTAATGTTATATAGATCGATATTTTATTAATTTTAATTTTATTACCAATGTGATTTGTTTTGTCGGACAATAATTGTTTCTTATAATTTATATTATTAAGCTAGAGATTATAAGAAGTATGTATTAGTAATGATTGATGTACCTAATTATCTACCGATTACGGATTTCTTGATAAATTAATTTTTTCGAACAATTTTAGTGTGCTATTTCATACTGGTATTTAAAAATGTTCACGTTTTCATACACATAATATGTAATAAGTAATAACCAAACGTATTACTAATAAAATGGTAAAATTTTTAAATACCTAATACTTTTTATGATAGAATTTTCAAAAGTTACTGAAATTTGTCAAATTAATTTTCTCTGGAAAATCAATCAATCTTATATATAATAATTATTTGGATATTTTATTGGCGATAACTAGCTGTTAACACTTAAGGGGACGTTACAGTGACATTTGTTGTCTCCGTCTTACAAGTGCGTAACATAGCGAATTTTACTCTGAGCAGAACACGTTTATCTCCGTTTACTTAAAAATTGGACCGAATTGACCTCTTATACAATTCAAAGGTAAGATTATTATCTATATAATGACATAGGCTTTTTATTATATTTTAATTTTAAAGCGAGTTATGAGTATTTTAAGATGTACAAACCGTTTATTATTTTAAAATACACATAACGTTCTTTAAAATTAAAATATAATAAAAAGCCTATGCTATTGTCTAGATAATAGTCTTACCTTTAAATTTTATAAGAGCTCAATTCACTCTAATTTTTAAACTGACGGAGATAAAGGTGTTTTGCTGAGCGTAAAATTTGGTATGTTACGCACTTGTAAGACAGAGACAACATATGTCACTGTAACGTCCCCTTAACAGTCTTAACTATTAACATCAATATTTTCTAACTGCTATTTTATTAAATACGTATAATAATTATGTCAATAATCTACTAATACATTCTGCTACTTATCTTTCAGATAATAGTTTTAAATTCAAACATATAGGTATAAAATATTAATAACATAAGATGAAGAGGATAATAAATAGAAATCTTAGTATTACAGTACTTATACAGTTATAATATCAATATTAATAATTTATGAATCATAAAACCGGAACATATTCTTTACTCATTATCGTGCAGGATGATTCCATTTCCATGATGGTAAACATGAGCACGTTTCCCTGTATTAGTAGTGTGTATAACACAATAATGTTTGATTTTAATCGTTTGTAAAATATTAATTGTTCGACGGTGTAGACTACAATATCTTAAGAAGTCGTAACTGTTGTACCCAGTTATTTTTATCGTTCATCCCATGGACATAGGTACCTAGTAAGTTTTTTTGTTGTTCCAAATCATAATTTCTCTCGTTCTTTTGTTTTGTTTAATAAAATATAGTGTTAATGCAAAATATAAAGATTATAATTAAATAGTCATCTTAATATCCTTAACAAACATAATTATAATGAATATATCATGGTATATGATTATTTAGTACGAAGTTAGTGTGTGTGGTATATAATATGCTTTTAACTATACAATTTAAACACACATTTCATAAACTAATAAATAAATAGAAATTTTTATAGTCCAAAACTCTTTGCAATCGTTCGTCCACGAATTGTACGCTAAAATAGGTTTGTTACAAATATGTAAATTCTAGTTAGGTACGTAACACAATCTGAAAAATTCAAAATAATTTTATAGATATATTAAATTTGTATTTTATAACAGTTATTATTACAACACTGCTTGTTAATAATTACAATATAAATATTAGAAGTTATGCGTAACTGAGACGTATCATCTAATAAGGATATTTTGAACTTATATGTCACGGCATTAGATGTTAAATATCTATATTCTGTATCTATAATATAGACAAATATAGATTATATATGACTATACCTTTGTCTAGGTAGATAAATAACTGATCTACCTGAAAAAATAATATAATATTATAAGATGTTAGTTTTTTTTAATTTAAAAATAATTATTTTTGTTGTGTAAAGGCAATTAAAAATATAAATTCAATTGTATTTTTACTGAAATATAATATGTCAGCATAGTATAAAAAGTAACCTAATCAATGTTATTAAATATTTAAATGTCACATTGAGAATATATTTTTACGATTTTACCTATTATAATAACATTTTTTACTCTTCCTAGGCGCACATACAATATTTAAAATAGTGTTTTAAGAACACATTTATGAAAACGTCAGCACTTATATACATAAAAACTAATTTAAACCACAGTACCAAGTAGTGTTTTTAAGTGTAGGATGTAGATAAACATCATGTGTCGAGTGATTATATCATGCATTTTAGATTTTGTAGCGTTTATAAGCTCTGTAGCGTTTATAAGCACATGAAGTCAAGTCTAGTTAAAATGTTATATTTAATACATTGTTATTGGAACTATTGGACATGGTCTCCGGACTTTAATTGATAACATTTTCCAAAAATCATAATAGGATAATACTACATAATGTACAAATGTGTATTAATTTTATTGCATAACACAGGGATAATGTAATATATAATATTATTTAACATAAATATACTTTTGGGCTGGATACACGATTTTTGTTTCTAACCGATTTTTCATAAGGTTTTCGTTGTCATGGTAACTTATGAACAAAAACATATATTTTATGATTCATAAATTTTCCTTGTTCTGAAAAAATATCGACTATTGCGTGTTATAGGTTTTTATAGAAGTATTTAATTTTGTGTCACTAGATAGCCTCCCTCCTATATACATTATTCTTATAAAAAAAAATATAAATATATGCAAATTGTCAAACAATTTGCTTATTGTGTACGCTATATTACAGATTATGAGATTGTAAATAATCTAAAATTCAAAATAAACTTTGTATAAAATAATATATTTTATAACGTTGGTATAGGTATTACACATTGTATGTATTAGAAATAATAATTTGTTTTATATGTAATCGCAGTTCCGTTAAAGAACAAAAAATGTAGTTCCAAAATAATATAGGTACTCCCTACTCATTAGACGAAAGTTATTGGATTATTACCTAGAGGTTTTAAGATTTTGTCTTACGAATCAAATATATTGACTATTTATTATCGAGTATACGTTTTATGCGGATTTCAAATCCTTCTCATTTCTTTAAGTACTATTTATGAGATAATTTTGATCTAAGTATTTGATTTTTAATTCTTTTCAATAAGTTATCATAATAGATTATTTGGTCTGATGATGTATAATAATATGCTTAATGTAAGTTAACTTTCAAGATTTTTGACTTATGAGAAAGACGTTGTGACAGTGATATCAAACATAGCCGATATCAAATATGCTTTTATAATTGGCTTAAATAAAATTGGGAAATAATTTTTTTTTAGATTACGTTGTTTACCGAGACAAAGATATGCAAGTAGTTCCATCGACTTAACATCTTTCCAGGACTCCACCCATGGGCATGACTTCAATCAAGGTCATAGTCGAGTAGTCATGACCAGAAAAACGGAACGGAGGATATTTGTCGCCCCTTCAAAATTGGGACAGGTGCGTTATTAAAATATTATATTATAAAACTAAATTACAGCTCATCGGTATCAATCGAATTACTGGCCACCCGCCGATGGCCGATTCAGTCGTTAGATTTTATTTTTTAATCTCGTGTAACCGGACATGGGTTAATCGAAATTCAAAATTACCATTGATATTCAAGATACAATAATATGTAGTAGGTATATGATGCAACGATAATATTTTAAAAGGATAGAAATTGATTATTGTCTATCACTCCAATCTTATTTTTTTTTTGTAACTTCAAGTTAAAATTAAAATTAGCAATATCAGATATACATGTATAATAAATGATAAATATTATATTTTTTTGTTTTTTTTTTTTTTTTTCATAGAAACCCAAATTTGAAACCCTGACCAAAGAAACCGTGCAGACGTTTCGGGGTAACAAAACAGAAAGGAAAGTGACTTCTGAAACGAAAAACATAGAAGAAACAATTGATAGCAAATTGGGTGTGTATAAAGAATTTAATATGATTTGTATGAACAGTATTGAAATGGTTAATGGTATTTTTCTTAAAAAGTAACATAGTTTTTCTTCGGCGAATTCACATTTGATAATGCGTGTGTAATGTGTATGTGAAATTTCCTTGCTAATGCATTAATCTTCAAACAAATTGGCGTAGGCGATAAAAATGCTATTTTCCGTGACATTCGTGGCAATGACATTGAAAAACTTCTGACAATTGTTTATCTAATCTTCACGCAACGGTTGATTTCCCAATTTCGTTCCAGAAATAATTCCCACCTACCTATGTTCAAACCAATTTGTCGCGATGTTTTTTTTTTTTTTATTATTGCTGTGAATCTAATACTTAAGATATGAACCTCTAAAAATAACAATATTTACATCGCTCGAAATGTATCTTTGAATAATAGGTATACGATTTGTTTGTTTTCGTAGATGGATCTGACGACTTCCTTTCATCGTTGTCGCCGTCAACTTCGTCAACAGAATTAAAAACGTCATACAAACAAGTAAGTGTGTTTGATAAATATTATTATTCACAATGTAAACATTGTAAACATCGTTTTAGTTTTTTGTAAAATATCTAACATTTCTTTCGTTATGATAAAAATATTGGCCGTGAATTTTGAAGTTTATTATATCTATTATAGAATAATATGTTAACGTAATACGTTACCTACCTAAAATAAAAGTTGATTTACAATTGGTATAATATAATATATGTATAGACATAATATTATGTTCAAATACCTATAACTAAAAAAAAATATATAAATATAAGAAAACAATCATATCAATAGTTGAACTGAGTGTATGCTCACATATGAGTTATAGGTACGGAGTTTATAGTGTCTTATGATATAAAATATAAACAGGACAATAAAGCCCCGATTCGCTTTTACAAATTGAAAGCGGAAATGTAAGTCTTGTCATGAAAATTTATTGACGAACGTGTTGAAAATACTGTCATTTTTCGTATTCGTATTCTACAGGCCTATAGCTCAATGAAGTGATCTTATAATATGTATTAGGCATGACTGTAATAGGATGTGTTAATAAAACTTCTGATTGATATACTGAAAGTATCACACAAGTGACGTTTGTGCATGTTTCATATATATGCGCGTGCAACTACCTTGTGATCACGTATCAGTGTTGAGACACATAATATATAAAGAAACCTTGTCATATAAATCCGACAGATCTGCACAAGCGATCATGTTGTTGAAAATCAGCAAGGACGCATAATCACCAAGCTTGCATTTGTGCATTAATAATATATAATGTAACATAATAATATGGTTTGTCGTTTTTAAATTTATTATCAAATAGGTATGATATCAAATACCCACTAACTTAAGTAGGTACAACTATAGTTGTGAGAGATAGAAAAATGATTGCTGCAGGGTTTATGTTTGACTTAAAGATACAATATAAAATGTAATTATTGAGAAAATATCAGTAAAAAGCTAAAATTTACCCCAAGTTAGAGGGTATATTGGTACACTGGTGGGCCTCCCTCCTCACGCCTAACCTAACCTTATATTAGCTATCGAATTTACTTATTGTATTGTATATAAATATTACAGATTGTAAATACTCTATTTTTTTTATAATATATAAAAAAAAAAAGCTAAAAAGAAGTAAAAACGTCTGTGTGATTAATTTGGTCAATTTTTTAATTAAAATGAAAGGTGTACTTAAGATATAGAATCTAGTCTTATCGAAATCATCGCTTATAATAGTTGGTAGGTAACCAGCTGCAAGAATGTTTTTCCTGTGCAAAATATCATTTAAAATGCGAAAACTAAGAAGGACATTTATGTCATTTTTTGATTGAATGAAATAAAAACTCATATTTATTACACGTGTGTCCTTAATCATGCCACTGGAAAACTTTGCGTGATGAATGCAGAATTGAGCACCTATATATGCATTGTAATTGGAACCTATTGTGTTTTGATACAAAAAAGATGATTGTTATAATTGATAGACATCTTACAAGTACGACCATAAGAAAAAAAAATCACCAGAGACAATAAAAACTCAAGCTAATCGCAATTTTATCAGTTTTAACGATCTACTAATATTTTTAATTTAATGTTATAGAAAACCGGTATCGCATTAGATTATAGTTTATATTTTATTGTAGACATTGGCTAACGTTTTATGTATAGGTATTGTATTGTTGTTTATGTCGGTCATGCACTACAGACTGCAGTTTATAATGATAAAAAACATAATATGTCTAAAAATTGTAATTGTACCTAAATATTTCAAAACTTTTATTAATTAAAATTATTTATTCAACTTAAACACACAATTTTATGAAGAATTTATTTATTAAATATACACGTACCTAGGTACACTATAATAGTTAAATTGTATTTTATTTAAATATAATTTTTATTATGTATATAGTAATATAATACATCGATAACCATTTCTTTGAGTCAAAGCTTTCTGATATAATAGCAATACCACATATATATTTACTATAACTTATTATCTTTGGTATAGTTATGTTATTACAATATGTTTATATGTGTGAGTTTGAAATTATAAAATAAAAACGTTTATGTAATCTGTTTTAGAGATGTACAGCTATAAAATCACAGAAAAAAATTATTATAGACAACAAGACGTTTATACAAGAATGTTTGGATGCACACAATCAATACAGAAAAAAACACACTGTTCCTCCTATGATCCTGAGTAAGAAAGTTAGTATCCATTCAAATATACACGAATATATCGACTACTGTATTGAGTACAATATATAAATTGTGTAAACATTTCAGTAGGCACCTACGCAAATGTGTTATTATATTATTAAGTATGTTATTTTATCAAGTGCAATTTCGAAACCGAAAGAAATCTATGAAAATACTTTCTTTGCCGAATTATGTCTGCCATACCTACCGCTAAAATAATTTGTTTTTCTTCTTTCCACATCGTAATATTGATGTTGAACTTCGTAAACATTTTGGATAGATTACTCGTTGACACGACAACAATGCATCCACTCGTCTTGTACAACGAAGGCCATTAAAACGGCCGTCGTCGTAGATATGGGGTTTCCGAAGTTAAGTACAAACTACCTCTATAGTAGGGGGAAACAAAACCACATAATAATAAAACGTGACAACTGTGCTTTCACTTCGTGGTCAGCAGACAAAATGTTAAAAAAAATATTTAATGTAAATATTCCTTGTTTCTCTTGTTACTTTATTTTTTTATTATCATGTGCATTATTATTAAAACATGATTGACGTACCTACCTGTGTAAAAAAAATGAAAAACGTATAGGTATTCGTTTTAATGCTAAGAGTGAATGGAAAATCAAAATTTGCATTTACTAGCTCAACTAATTTGCATTACTCTACAAATCTGTAGTATAGAATATGTTATTATATTTAATATTTTATTTAAACTATTCTGTCTCGGCATTAATTTTAATCTTTGAATTGCGTTCTCTAAGATTATGTTTGAATGAATACTGAATTGTATTATATACCGCTACGTTTTCATATTATTTTCGTAATAATTTGATTGGACATATTGTGTAACCGTTATGTTTACCAAACATAAACTCTGTTTGTAAAGGTTACAAAAGTAACAAAAGTTATTTTGATACCTATAGAACAATAGTTAATTCATTAAAAAAAATAAGCTATTGTAAGTCATAATAATTGAATTTTGTTTTGTATTCAATTGGAATTAATGACTTACAATTTGTTATACACAAATCCGTGGGATCTTACTTCATGTTTTTGGTAGTTCAGTAGTTGGCAAATGGATGTTGGTATTATAGTATAACAAAAATAAACAAAACTTGTTATGTATGTCTACTCAAATATTAGTTTTGCTTAAGAATCATTTAGTTTTAATTGAATCACAACAGTTCTTTACAGTAATGTATAAACCTCTGGAAATATGATTTATAAATTAAAATAAGCGCACTTAGTACACATACATATTGTATTCCATTTATATTGTTGTCTTCCCCGTCACTGTGATCAATATATAAATTTAACTTTGAAAATCTGTTTGCACGCAGCTTTGTAAATATGCAGAAGAATGGGCGAATTATCTAAGCGGCAAAGGTCTCCTAGAGCATAGACCATCTTCTTCATATGGTGAGAACCTATTTTGCTCTTGGACGTCGCTACCCAACCACAGGATTGAAGGAAGGGAACCGGTGGACAGCTGGTACGAGGAAATCAAATTTCACCCTTTTGGCCGCGAACCCACTACCCTGAAATCAGGTAATTCGCACAGTTTAGTTAATTATTAAATCCCGTGTCAAGTGCACATATTTTCTACTACAAAACTATAGCTGGTCCTGCTCGGCGTTGTCCGTAGGTCATTAAATAATGCGAGAGGATTTACCATGTCTTAGACTCCATTAAATGTAAGCTACACTTGTTTTTAATACAGTGATGGGCCATTTGGATGGTTTTGACAAAACATATATTACAGGTCTATGATTTACTCTGTATATACCAACAATAACATTATAATAACTATTTTATTTTATGTAACCAATGGCAACTCTAAACAAACAAAAAAATATTCGTTTTTCGTAAAGCCATTAAATCCCTGTGTTAGTCTCTCTTTTTAAGTTAAAAAAACTGGTGTACATCCTCGGGTATAGAATTACTTACTTACTAAATTTCAGTGATAGACTGAGAGTGCAATAGACTTGGCTGTGGATCGCTTATACACTCACACATATTGCCTTTTTTTTAGGGTTAATGTATATCTAATGTCGGCGTACTTTCCCATTATTGCTGTAGTTCTTAGACTTATTCGGTGTTGTACGTGACATGGCAGCTCGTCCGACCAACGAATCCGTGGGTTGATTATTAATCAATATTTTGTATCGATGCCCAGATCATTAATGTGAGGGGGGCTTGAGAGGCTGTAGCGAGGGCCGCGACATAATTAGGGCCCCCATATAGAGTCATATACGATTTATTTATATTTATCAACATTAAATAATAAAATTACTTATAGACTTATAGATATTTATGTTATAATTATTTATAATCGTAATATATAAATTGAATATAAAAAAAGGGCAAAAAACCAAATTTACAATTGTAAGTTAATGGGCCCCACCAAAAAATTAGACCTGCGGGCCCCAAAATTCCTAAGTATGGCTCTGCCGTATAATAATCGTTTAAGATTTGTTGAAACCACCCAGAGAATGATCTAGTGCTACAGGTTACGCCACTGATCAATAAGTGCAGTATTAATTATATCATATAGCGATGATAGATGGTATTACGACTGTACTTACAGCCTATGCATTTTTTTCTAATGCTTACACGAGTAGGTACGCTTACGTCGTAATAATTATACTTCTTTATACTCCAGCCAGCGGTTGGTATTTTATAGATATTGTGCATTAGCCATTAGATAATACTTACGTGGCTCCATCATCGTGAGTTTCTGTTGTGCTCCGTAGATATACACTATAGGTTATATGTAGGTTTGTTATTTGATATAATACAAGCGACAATGCAAAATATAATTTAAAACTCATTGTAGAATGTAGATGCTCAATGATTTCATTTCCATTGAAAGGTGTGTTACGATGTAGGTACCTACATAATGTCGTGGTTGTATGCTAGTAATATTAACACTTTATTTTTATATTACCTATGCGCGTATTTATTATTTTACGTTTTTTCAATTGCGTATAGAATGGCAAATAAACACTTTAAACTATTAAAACGTGCTAAAAGCTATTAGATATAATATTATGTAGGTACCAGCTAGATGATGGACGGATAGTTTTATAATGTACCTAGGTACAATGTAGAACATATAATAAAGTATCAATTTTTTTCTTGAGTAGTTTTTTAACTCGCAATGAGATACTCATCTAAATTGCATGTTATAATAGTTACACAACAAATACTTTTAATCACTCACAGACCACAGTCACTATACATATTATAACTTATAACTTAGTATAGTTAGTTTAAAATTTAAATAAAATTTGTAATATATATATATTGTTTATTTTGAAAAATTGGGGTGTATTTTTCGTATTAAATGTTATAGGCAGGGAAGTATGAAATAAATTATTAAACGGTATTATTATCATAATAAAATAAAATTCTGTCCGAATAATCATTGTAAAATATACCTACCTTTAAACATAATAAATCGATGGCATGCAGATTAAAACATATCAATATATTCACATTATTTCACATCTACCATTGTCTCGAAGAAAACATTTTTAAACAACATTGGACACTACTTTTCTTTTATTGTTAATCGACATCTAAAGCACAGTAACTTAAAGGCGAAATATTATCGTTTTCAATAACTGTTGATCCGAACCCTGGAAATCGACACCATCAGCCTTCAAATTGCAATGTCCCTGTTGGTTATTCATACCAACTTCGTCCTACATAGGTACTATAATAAAAATATCATGTTTATTATTCTCTCTTGTTGCTCGGCAACGCAAGTTGCCCGGTTAACTTATACGCATACAAAATTGTCGCTCGAAACCTTTGGAACGTCTCATATGGCCCTCTCTACCATGGATGTTAAATAAAAAATAATTGGAATTTTGTGTGGTTTGATTATTTATATAATTTGTTAAGAACTCTAAATAATAATTCGAATACGGTTATAGTGTGATGGGAAGATCGTGATTATCATTTTAATATTTTAAATGGCTATTAGATCCAATTTGTCTTGCTAAAAATAACAATCATTATTATTTCCCTCATAGAAATAATATTATATCTTAATAAGACTACAAATGCCTTTTTTTTTACTTATTAAACCGTAACAACAGGCCATTGAGTGGTTATTTTTTAGTAGGTTTTTAATTGTGGGGAGGGTACGATTGGTTTAACAACTTGGCAGTCGCATCGGTCAGAAATAATTAAATGCTGATGGAAAAAAAAACCTTTTAAATTGCAAATACAAAATTAATACATAAGCATAATGATAAAAATGAAAAAATTAGTTTATAGTATAAATAATACACTATAAAATATGAATAATAAAGTAAAAAGTATAAATTACTGTGACTTTTGAGATTGTCTTATATTCAAAAGTTTTTTAATCATGAGAGGCGACTGATATTATTTTTCACCTATTTTGGTGGTCGTGACCTTAAAAAGGTTGGGAAACGCTGGGTTAGAACACGTGTGTGTAAGTGGCGAGGACTTGGCCCTGTAGGACTCGGGTGGTCACACATCCGGGAAGCGTATTTACGGATGCTACTCGAGACTGGCCACTATGCCACTGCGGTCTACCAAAATGGACGTGGTCTACCGTAATAATATTAAAGTAGTAAAGTACAATAATATTAAAAGTATAATAAAGTATAATTTAAAGTATAAAAAAAATTTAATTTATTTTTTATTACCCTGTGACTCACTTGGGGAGGTGTTGCATACCAAGTCGGGGGATATTTTCGATTTGCGGAGCGGAGCGACGGCGCCGAGGAGCGTAGCGACGAGTGCCGCTAGCACCGCATCACTGTACGATGTTTTTTCAAATTGGTGGCTCGGTGCAACAAAAATGCAATTGATTGAAAAAACATCGTACAGTGATGCAGTGCTAGCGGCACTCGTCGCTACGCTCCGCAAATCGAAAATATCCCCCGACTTGCTGTGTAACACCTCCCCAAGTGGGTCACAGGGTTGAGAAAATTGCATTTTTGTTCCCAGCTATATAGGTAGAACACATAACATTGATAGACCGCGTACTATGCTCATGTTTATAGTTACGTAGCACACAAAACGGAGGTAGACCGCATATTGGGAGATAGCCCTGCTTTCATATTGAACTTTTTGAGTCTTTATTTTAGTATAGCGGTATATTACATAGTGGCCGGACTCGAGTAGTATCCGTAAAATAAATTTGTTTTACGAACCCTAACTGAATTTGGGATCTATTGGCCAGTCTCGAGTAGCATCCGTAAATACGCATCCGGGAACTAGTGACACCAGCTGATGCTTGACTTCAGAACACGTTTTGTGAGTTAAGCCAACAACCCCTCCACAAATGAGAATTTATTTTATAGCTATTTAATAAAATAGATTTACATAAGTCATCCATGTCACCAGCCAATTTAGTTTCTATTATAATATTATATTATTTATCACGGTGATTTAGTAATAATTATGATAAATATTTAAACTTTTACTCATCGATTTACTTAAGTAATATACTATGTATTTTTCGATTTATTATTCTGAACAATATAGTGTTCATCGAAATTCTCATTTTTAGCTGTTCGCTCTTTTTTTTACTATTTTCAACTGTTTAACCCTACACAACGATTACTCCTACCATATTATGAAAAAAAAAATACACCCAATATTGTGTGGCCGATATAATATTATGAATTGTGATCGTCGAGACGCATTCGCTCGCGCAAAGATACTTTCGCGGGGGAACCATAAAAATGCGTACTTACCTACTTCTTCAGCTAGCTAGTCGATATTATATTGTACCTATCTCGGAGTTCTACACGAAAACGATCTTTGCTGGAGAATCACGCACACGCGTGTATAAAATACGTATTATATACGCATTAAATATTATATTATTATATGGTATCCCGAGACTAGTTTCGACGGTATCGCGAATTCTACGGGCTTTACGCTCGTAAATAATATTATATATTGATCGCGGTGTTCACCCATCCAGGATCCATAATATACATATATTATTATTATTATTATTATTATTATTATATTTATATAGCGGTGTTGTCTGTCTGTCGCGGTGTATAATGTACTATGGACACGTCACACGATAGTATTGTAATGTAATCGCGTGCTCTGCATTCGTATATACAATATGATATGTATATTATATTAATACTGACCGTGCACGTCGTTGCATTTCTTGCCACACATATTACAGTCAAGCCCGGATTATCGGGGGGGTCAATGTGCGCACGGTTCCGGGTCCATTGATTTTGCAGGGGGCCCAACTTTATCCCCAAAATATATTTTGTTAACGCGTCCAATACAGTTTTCAAAAAAAAAAATTATTTTAGTAGGTATAGGTATAGTAGGTAAATTATTATTAATAATTTGTTCTCAATTTTATATCACGAAAAATTACTATAAATAATGAACTATGTTTGCTAACAATTTTGTTTGTTTGTTTTTTTTTTTGAACATTTTAGATTACCAATTTAACTATTTAAGTATATAAAGGGTGTCCCGTGAGGATTTACCTATTAGCCGTAGAGGGGGACTCGCCGCCCGGACAA